TATATATATATATATTTTTCTCGCGTTGTTTGTATTAACTCGTCGTTGTTCTTTTTTATTTAAAAAAAAAATTATTTTTCTCCTGCATTTTTTTTTCTTTTTCTTTTTCTTTTTTTTTCCTACCGCGAATTGATGTTTTAGAAAGTCACGTTTGTACACGGTACAACGAGTACACGTTGTAATTAATTTTGAAAATCAACTAGAAATTTTTGGGATTCGTATAAAAACGAAGCTCGGATATACAAACTTTTCATCCTTCCCGTATATTTCTCGTTGTTTGTTGTTTAGTACGTAGGCGTTGTTCTCTCCTTCTATCTTTTTTCCTTTTTTTTTTTTTTTTTATTTCCATGCATGTATAACACGATAGTATGTATTTTTACTTCTGTGTGTATGAGAGAGAGATAGAAAGAGGGAGTTCATATCTACATCATATATAAGTGAATGAACGACCTCCCGAGGAACTGTGTTGTTACTTCGTAACACGTCAGAAATAGACAGAGGTGGAGAATATTTTTCTCACGATGTTTTATATACACACCTCGAACGTTTTTCATACGAATGATTTTTATATATACGATACGTAGATAAATACGCCATCGGCTAAAAGTTTGACCAATAAACAAGTACACTGTGTGCTACAATTTGCGCACAAAATTATCGCGAGAATGAATCGGTTGTAAAAGTTTTTTCTCTCTCAAAATATTATTAATTACAAATATTTAGATTAAAAAAAAGCTATTATATATTCGGTAATGGTGTTTAACGATACCGATGATTGTTAAAATCTTTCGCGTAACGTTTCAATAATTATAAATTAATTAAGAAACATTTCTCCGTTTGATTGTATTTGTAGATAGGAATAGAATCGAATGGATTATGATGTATATGTGTGTCTGTGTGTGTGGAAGAACAACTTGGCAGGTATTTAGAATTGTAAGGGATGCCGAGAGAAACGTTAAACGCGACTGCCTGCCTTTTCTCATTAAAACGTGTTACACCAAGTTTCAAATCGAAGGACAACTTCGTGCATTCATAGTCAGATATAGAAAGAGATGGAATATAATACTATTCAAACTAATACACATACAACACCCACATATACTAATAATTATATATTACGAGTAGAACACGTTGCTGCTAACTAAGCCGATACTAACTATACGTAGGCGCACTTACTATTTAAACGATACTCTTCTACCTGTTGCTTGCACAATAAAATTAATTTTACGCTAGAGAAGTTATGTGGATTCTTCTATCTGCACGCTATATACTGAAACAAAACAAAAAATCAGATAAAAATTATTTTATCTACGTTTATATATATATATTTTTATTTAATTCTTCGTAGGATTGTTCCTTTTTTTTTTATTTCGAGATAAGACGATCGTGATGTAAAAAAAAATACGAAGAATAAATAAAACAAAAATAATTTTGAAAAAATAATTTTTGACAAAAGTATACACACACACACACCCACCCCTATATGATTTATGGTTGCAGTTACGATAACGTAGACTCGCCTAATTATGGTAGGCACTTGAACGGACACGGTTCACCCCCAGCTACGAATTCGTCGTCCCAAGGGAGAGATTATCACGGGGGTGGTAGCGGTGGTGCATCGTCTCCGTATAACAGCCACCATCAACAGCATCATCACCATAATCATCATGCACAGGACGGAAGTTACCAGTATGGTAGATTCGATGCTAGCGCGTTACACATTGCGCATGCTCTCAAGCAAACGGAACTTCAAAAGGGTTATAGCAAGGCTCGCGAGAAACCCATCGATTATTATCTGGTGAGTCATTCTACCTATTATGTATATATTTCTATATGTGTGTACGCGTCTATGTGTACATAGAGTAAAAAATATTATCCATGAATAAGTATGTGTGTATATGCTTGTGTAAAATACGTAGGACTACTTTGAATTCACCTATTATGTATTTCTATATGTACTTCTCGTGTGTACGTGTACGTAGTAAAATATTATACACGAATGTGTGTGTGTATGTGTAAAATACGTAAAGACTACTCTGCGAACGCGTAACGCGTTACGTTTGCGCTTGTATTTGGGCACGTGTGTGTGTTACGTTCTCTTGGCACGAGAGATGGGGGTTGAGGGGAATCGGGGGGTGGTTTGAGGAGAGCCTGTGGTCATCGCCGTATTAGGACGAGAGAGTTTACTATGTCGAGTCCCTCTTCGTTCGACTCGAACCACTCTTGCACGCGGCCTCCTTATTTTCCATCGAGCAAATACTCCTCGCGTGTTCCGCTCACGACCATGAAATAATTCAACAATTCAAACGTTATAATGTCTTTTTTTTTATCTTTTTTTTTTTTTAATCCCTAATCAATCCGACAGATCGGTTGCGAACGAACAAAATATATTGCTTATTATATAAATGTTAAATAAGAAATTATTTGTTTTTAATTGGAAATAATTCAGATGCCAGCTCGTCTATTTATTTCATCATTCTCTGACAATTTTTTGAAACCTTTGCAAATCGATTTATATCTCAAAAAGGTATGCTACGCGTAGACAAAAGAGTGTACTTTAATTTAATATAAAAATCATTAAAATCCATTTGCAAAAAGTATAAAAAATATTTAGCGAAACTTTTCAAAGAAATTGCAAAGATGCACAATTTACAGCATTGCATTCTCTGACATTTTCTGAACTTTATATGCTAAATTTATAACTCGATATGGTATTTTACGGGTAGATAAAAGAGTGTACTTTAATTTAATATAAGTTTCATTAAAATCTATTTACTTTTAATATAAAAAATATTTACCAAAACTTTATCGTAATGGAATTACTAACAGTGGCGGATTTCTGGCTATGACGGTAACATATATATATAACTAGAAGAATTGCTTATTAATAGTCAATGTTTTGTTATTTATGATTAGAATAAAATTGACCGAATAAATGATAGGAAAATAATGAATACATTTTTATTTTTGTTTTCTATGTTAGGTAAAAAAATATTTGAATTTTTCTTATGTTAGATATATAAATATTCGCGTATTATATATGAGAAACTTATTTATAATAGATAGACGATCTTATCCTCGACGTTATCTTAAACAGGTTCTGTATATTAAAACGCATAAATGTTTCTACTTGCGATTCTCTAGCGGTACTCTTCTTCTTCTTCTTCTTTTTCTACCACACGCATAGGTTTCCCATAAAACGATGATATTTTTTATCCTACCGATTTTATAAAAACGATCGTTCGTTATATTCGCGTGTTATTAAAACATACGATATATTTCATGTGTCACATATTAAACAATAATTAACATTTTTTTTGGATCAATAAGAAGATTACCAAAAACACAGAAAACATTACGTTTATAATTAGTAAATAAAAATTCCGATATATATTATATATTTTGGAATTTTTATTTAAATTATAGAAACTGCACGATCATCGATCATCATTTTGTTTCTTAAATGAAAACACATAAAACAAAAAAAATCGTATTTTTCAATACGATAAAATATGCGATAAGAGTGAGTTGCTACTTTCTTCTCGTAAGAAAAACAACTAAAAAGAAAAAAAACAGAAAGATCCGAAATAAGTTTAATCATTTTCTTTTCTAATAATTCCTTCCAGTTTTTTTTTTTATTATTTTCATCTGTGCTCCCACCATTCGTCCGACTTGGAAAGAGTAACAAGAAAAAAAAAGTAAAAAATATAAAAAGAAAACAAAAAAATGCTGGAGATAAATCGTTCTCGGAGTGTAAACCGGTCCTGGAAGTTTCAAGAGGCGACGAGCGTGGAATCCTACGTGCGTTTCTGTGAGGAACTTTGAAGAAAGAAAGAAAGGAAGAGAGAGAGACAGACAGACAGACAGAAAAAAATGGTCGATGTCTTTACAAAAAAAAAAAAACTGAAAAAAAAAAAAAAGCAAAAAAAAGTCCAAATAAAAAGAACAAAATTTCACATCGATTCGTTGAAATGTTTCCGATCGGTTTTGATTGGTGGAATGTGTAACGTAGGGGGACGATGTTTACATGAAAATGAGTTTGCCGTTTTTCCCATCGTGGGGTCTCTTGAAGAATTGCAAATGGGGAAGAGAAGAAGAAGAAGAAGAAGAAGAGGAGGAGGAGGTGGAGGAGAAGAACAAACCGCTAGTCGGTCTACTATCGAAACGTTTTCTCTTATAATCCGCTTTCGCGTGTTGCTTGTTCAGCAAAATACGATTTGGTGGATTGCCATTTTGTGAGATATCTTGTGAATGCCATGAGAAAGAAAGAGAGACACCATACTATGTATGGGTATGCGTAAAAGGAACGAAAAACAACGTGGGCACCGATGACGCGAGATACACGCGCGTGTATTACGTTTATTCTCGACAGATTTTTTATTTTTTTTTTTTTTTTGTAAGTTAATACCAATACCGGATATTTCATTCAAATGAGATTTCGATATAATATAGCGTAGGTGATTACGATTTTAATTTATATTCCTTTTTTCTTTTTCATTTAATATATTCATCACCGTGTATCACCTACACCTGTATAATATGCACGTATTTTATTTATCGTATTTATATGAAATATCTAAATTCATCTATGAATGGTGTTATAGAAAAATCAAACAAATTATTATTATTAACGGTGTTAACTATTTTAATGATCAATATTGTATTACTAATTTTTCATTTTATTTTCAAGACGAGGAAGCAAAAATAAAACACGTGTATGTGTGTGTATTATGCATTCGACAGAATAATTTACTATACTTATTAATAAGCAAACGTATATAAATATTTATTTTAATTAATTTTTTATTTTATTATTTCGTTTTTTTTTATAATAAGATTACGAATCACGTTTTAAGAATAGAAAGAAAAATACTCGAAGAGAAAACCTAGTTTCTTCCCACACCCCCACCTCCCCCATGGCCCCCTTCTTCTTTTATAGAAGATTTCTTGGGGGGTGGGAGGAGGCTCACTTTTCTTGAGTAAGAAGATATTCTACAAAATCGATAAATTCTCAAGCCAAGATTCTTTTCTTCCTTGGTTAGGAAAAAGGAAAATAAAAAAAGATAAAAACAAGACAATGAGTTTCCCTCGTTACTCAAATCGTTAATACGAGGAAGCGCAGAGTAGCGTGCAATAACTTTTCTCCTTTGCTTTTCCTGATACTTCGAAAGCGGAAGGAAGGAAGGAAGGAAGAGCTTTCTTTATGTTCACCATGCGAAAGCGAATCATTTCCGTTGTTGATTCTAATTACAAAATTACAACAAGATTCGTATTTAAATGCACGAGTTTTAACTTCCCCCTTTTTTTTTATCTTTTCTTCTTCCTCTTCTTCTTCTTATTTTCGAATCCTAATTTGTAAAAGGAAAAAACAATAATGCAATTTTAAATTTGCGTTTTGTAAGAAACACAATGTTTTTTTTTTTTAATTCGAGAGACAAATTTACGAATGAAAATCGTATTTAAGAATAATTATTAATTACGTTTACATATGCAAGCACACACACACACTCATAGAGACATAGACATTTATACAATATTTTTATTTTAATCGAATTTTACGAATAACGAATATGGAAGATAAAAAAATCAAATAATTTATGCAAACATTTTTGATTATTCTTCGTTGTTCATTATTCGAACATCATTCAAGTATTATGATATCTTGATTAGAAAGAAAAAAAAACAGGAGAATTAAATATAGAATTTGTATTCGCGTAGACACACACAACTATAACAGAATTAATAAAACGTAGAGAACAGAAGATAAGGATGGAATGTTTTATTCATATATTTTTTTGTCTATCACCGATATTGAATTGAGAATAAGAAGAAGAAAAAAGAATAAAAGAAAGGTGTAGGAAAGAAAATGATGTATTTATAAGTTGTGGAGGTACTTGCTTTCGTAGAAAAGCCAATGTTCTTGGTTCTCACCTTATTCTCATTCGTGGTTATTCGAACGAACGTGTTCGTATGTGTGTGACGTAATCGTTGCGTGGGTATTTCTCTCTCTTTCTCTCTCTATTTCTCTCTCTATTTCTCTCTCTTTTTCTCTATTTGCCATTTCTTCATAGCAACGCTCGGTAACGTAACCCACACGACGAAATTACTGTTATAGAATCAACGATGTTATTTCAAAATGAACTTTTTGTCGACAGAAAAAAGAAGTCAATTCGTTGCTTTTGAATTTTTGGACAATCTCGAAAATCGAATATCGATAATAATAAGAAAATTGTGTATCCTCTTTTATCATTTTCTCCTTCGCGTAAATAATAAAAAATAATCTATATTTATATACGTATATGTGTATTTTTATGCGACACACAAATTTTCTTTTCTTTGCTATTTTTTATTTCTCACATTTACAAATATAAAAGGAAAAAGAGAGAAGGATTTATTCTAGAAAATAGAATTGAATTTTCCGATAGAATGTACATTTGTGCGAGGAAAAAATAAAAACAAAATCATTGCCTTCTCTTTTCTATTACTTTTATTTTGAAGAATCAGAAAAAAATATTATTATCTAAGTAGACCACACACGATTTTCTCTAATTGCATATATATATATATATTTGAATGGAAAAAAATAAAAATTATCCAACTCTTTCTTAGATTATCAATTTTTCCAAATCGAAACGAGATTAATTATCGAAAATAGAACTCTCTTTAAAGAGATCTAGATGATAGATAGAAGAAAGCAGTAACCAACCTGTGAAAGTAGTTTTAATAAAAACTTGACGACCAAGCTACTACTTTAGGTACGAACGTTCAATGTGACAAATAAAGAATATAAAAACGTTTAACACGTTGTCTATTTCTGTGAATTTTTATACCTATCTCTGTGTAAGTTTCTCAATGTCTTCAGTATTACCTATATGTATGTGTGTATATATTTATGTACGTATAAGTATAAATAATATTCTATAGTATAGTAACGATGGGGTTTAATTGCAACCTGCAGTAGAAAAACCTGTTATTGATAGACAGAATCGATCGGTTAGAAGTTAATGTTAGAAACAGTGTTAGTTTGAACGTGCCAGAGAAAACTTTTCCAAATTTTCTATCCCCGTGCAATTAAAGGAAAAGTCTAAAACCATCAAACTTATCGGAAGAGTAGGTTCAATGATTAGGAGACTTCGAGAGGACTTGGATGTCCTCGAAACGATTCATTTGGTGAACGATGTGAAACAGATGTTTGCTTTCCTCGACAAATTTGTTAGTTTTCAATTGAATTTTAACATTCTTATGGGTTGACAAACTTTTCAATCCACGTTCAAAGATAAACCTTCATTTGATCTGACAAAACATAGAATATTTTTTCATTTTCTATTCAAAAGTACAAAGTTCAATATTTTTCTCAATTCATTACCAATTATACCTTATAAATAAAAATGTTTCATTTAATGTGATTGTGTACGCTTATATTATAGAAACAAACAAAAAGAAATAAACAAATGAATAATATTTGTTAACAGGATCGAGACGAGCAAACGCGTTTGGAGATGAAACATCGTAAAGAGGAAGATGATTTGTACAGAAAGTTTGCTCATTATCGAGAAGAGGAGGATCGACGAATCAGAGAAGAATTCAGAGTACGTATACGACTGTACTTTATTTTTAATTATTATTATTATTATTGATTTACCTCTGTAAACAAAATTATTCATATATATATATATATATATATATAACATTTTTTGTTAACTTAATCAAATGGGAATATAAAAAATAAAATAAAAAAAAAAGGACGAATGGGAGAAGGAGTTGGAACAATTATCGGCAAGATGGGAACGAGAGAAGGGAGGAAGAACGCGTACCCAACAATTTCAACAGGAGAAGGAAGACTTGGAGAAAAACATGACTCTTAGGAGAGACAAAAAGAAGGAAAGTCTCACGAGGAAAATGTTGGAGCACGAGCGGTAAGTTTATATTATCTAATTAAGATGGCAGATGGTTTATCATTAAAGTGATGTCTTACTTACATAATACTCGGTTAATGTCGAGCGTTTATTTAGAATAGAACAGAACCCCTACCAATCAACTTACCAACGATTCTCTAATTAACTATTACCACGGTACATTATTTTAATGAAAAACCAGAAATATATCCGTTTCGCAAATTATGTTCCATAACGAATGACCCCTGTCTGTTAAATAAAATTGCAATTTTCTTTATTCGGAAACAAAAAATAATCTTATTAAATGTGAAATTAAATTTAAAAACAAATAAAAACTAACATCCGTTATGTTTTTACATTTACGATGATAACTTCGATGCAATTGAATTGATTTATTTATTAAAAATAGAAAATAAAATCATATGAAATCAGATTGAAAAATAAATAAAACTATAACACCTATTATTATTATTACATTTTTACATTGATACAATTGAATTGATTTATTGATTTATATTTATTATTAGTTATTATTGTGTTAATTTATAGAGCTGCAACGGCAGCATTGGTCGAGAAACAAAGTTCCGAAATGTTGGAGTTAATAAACGAGGCAAGAAGCGAGTATATGCTTCAAGAGAGTTTGTATCTTGACGAGGGTGACGGTTATACACAAGAAGCACCACCCCCCTATCCATCACGAGCACCTCCACCCCAACCACCGGCTTTAGCTAAGTATCACATTTACAACGATCCCATGGAATTTGCGGATATGGACCAAATTGCGATCTCGGTGAGAATAAACTCGTCCCATAAAAAAAAAAAAATGAAGAACAAATGTTTAATCGATATATACATTTAATTATTATTATTTTGAGAATAATATTTGTTCGATAGGTCGCTCAAGAAGATCAAAAGACGTTTACAGATTTGGTACGTCAATTGGTTAGCAGATGTGGCTCGGATATCGAAAAGGCAAGAACGATATTTCGATGGATTACCGTTAAGAATTTAAATACCATGCAATTTGATGAAAATTTGAGAGGCGACACGCCTATGGGACTTTTGAGAGGAATCAAACATGGTACCGAGAGTTATCACGTTCTTTTTAAACGACTCTGCAGGTAGAATCTAAAACAAAAGTTAACGAATTTTCTTTTTTGATATATATTTATGATTGTTAATTAAATGAATATATTATTGTTCTAGTTACGCTGGCTTGCATTGCGTGGTTATCAAAGGTTACAGTAAATCTGCCGGTTATCAGCCAGGTGTATGTTTCGAGGATAACAGGTTCAGGAATAGTTGGAACGCAGTTTACGTTGCCGGTGCGTGGAGATTCGTTCAGTGCAATTGGGGAGCTCGACATCTCGTAAATGCCAAAGAAGTTCCACGTCCTGGTCAACCAAAAGCTAAAAACGATAGTTTAAGGTATTACACGAATACTATGTTGAAATCTTATCTAGTATATATATCCTGAAGTTGGATAAGATAAAACAAATCAATGATTATTTATTAATCAATATTGATTCGATATCTTTGAATTATGATTAAACGTTAAATAAATATGATTTAGGTACGAATACGACGATCATTATTTTCTCACGGATCCGAGAGAATTCATTTACGAATTTTTCCCGTTACAAGAGGATTGGCAATTGCTGAAACAACCGATCACGTTAAAAGATTTCGAAGAATTACCATTCGTACGATCGTTATTCTTCAGGTAAATTTTGACAATTAATCTATAAATCGTTAGATAGATAGATAAGAAATAGAAATAAATCAGAATTATTTACACGATATAATTAATAAACGATATGAAAGATCAAAAGGATCGAACCAACACAACGCCCATTACAACGAAAGAGACGTGTACAAACCGTTCGACGAAAAGTACCGTTTCGTATAAATTCTGTGCTTGCAGATATGGCCTTTATTTTCCGGATACGAACACAAATGCCGTTATGTATACGGATTCGACCGGTGCTGCGACCGTAAGAATAGCGATGCCCGCACACATGCAATCGTCCCTCATTTTTCATTATAATCTCAAATTTTACGATAACGATGGGGACGGATACGACGGGGTCTCTTTGAAACGTTTCGTCATGCAGGTAAGAAATAATATAAATCAAACGTATAGAAAATTGTTTTCGTCAATCTTAACAACAAAAACAAACGATTAACTTCATTTTCCAAAAGTGTCATTTTGTAAAACGATTTCATACATATTTGTCTTTTCTTCTTATAATTTGTAATTACGATCAATATATATATATATAAAATGATTGAAATGATTGAAGTGATCGATCGGATAAATATTTGCAGTCGGTCGTTGGTAATATCGTTGCATTTCGAGTGCACGCCCCATGCTCGGGTGCATTCCTCTTGGACATATTTGCGAACGCGGTCACGCCTAAGGAGTACTTGACGGGTGAGCCAATGAAGTTTAAGAGCGTGTGCAAATTTAAAATCGCTTGCGAGGAACTTCAGACGGTGATGGTGCCACTTCCGGATTGTGCCAGTGGCGAGTGGGGTCCTACCAAGGCTACCAGACTATTTGGATTGATACCGATCACTCATCAGGTTTCTGTTTTTTATTTTTCCTTTTTTACATTTTTTTTCTCTTAACCCAATTTATACTTTTTTTTCTTTTTCGCTCTCCCACCCCCACCCTCCCTCCTCTTTCCACATGTAGTAAAAAAACGATGCTGATAATTGTTAACTTAAATTGTCGACGTGTAAATGTGAAATAATATTTGAAATATAATATAATATTTTGTGCAAGTGCAAGAGTGCATCGACAATCGATCGATAATTTTTGGAGAGATGCGTTTGCGTATGTGGAAGGATGAGTTGAGTGGGGAAATGTTCTATATATCTTAAATGATTGTTAATTAATCGAACAAAGTGTATATTGTTGTTTGAAAACATCTAGTATAAAATCGATGTATTGTTATTATTCGAAATTCACCGTTTTATTGGGTCATTGTCTTCTGTTAAAGTTTTTTTGTTAAATGTTGTTTATATGGCTTATACGCATGTCTGTGTGATGAAAATTACGTTTGGAAAGTAATCAAAACAATATTCAATAAAAGAACTTTGACAGAGGACAACGCGCCAGTCTCAAGGGGAATTTCGAGGAGGACGGTGCTCCGAACATACACTCAGTGCTTTTAAATTGTAATATACATTTTTTTCGATTAATTAACAATTAATTAAGGTCAATTGAACGCAGTACTTTATTTTAATAATATTTTTAATTGTTTTAACGTTCCCAATTCACAGTGATTACATTGAGTTGAATATTTTCATCTGATACAATATCTAATCAAAATTGTTTATTCGAGATATATAGGTAATTTTTAAACAAATTTACTTTGCATCGTGTTCTTACTTTTAATGAATATTATAAAACTTATATTCTGTGTGTGATATTAAATAATATTTAAATTATAGTCAAAACACAAAGGATGTCCAATTGTTAGGACAGGAACAAATTATTTTTACAGATATATTAATGTACGAAGAGATACATTACTTTCGTATTAGTTTTTATAAATAAAACTTTTATATGTGTTATATTAAATGTATTTTAAGAGATACTCATTGTAAACGTGAAACGTATCAATCATTTTCTATACGATAATCTCGCGAGTTTCACTTTTGTTCTGCACACACATATGACAAAAAGAAAATAATTCTTTTTTTTAATTTTAAAATATATATATATATATATATATGTTTTTTTATTTATTCGCAATTAATTCACATATTTTCGATATTGTATAACGATTTTCATTTTTTATTTTTGTTTTTCCCTTTTGTTTTTTTATTTGTAGGAAGCTTTAGTATTCGCAGGACGAGAATTGGAAATACAATTTCGGATGTCGCGACCGTTGACCGATTTCATGGCGACCCTGCACAAAAATGGCATAGAAGAAAAAAGATTGTCGAAGTTTGTTGCGCATTCGATAGCAGACGACGACGCGGTAACTTTTTCGATAAGTTTCCCGGAGGAAGGACAATACGGTTTAGATATTTACACGAGAGAATCAAACGGACCAACTACAACGCAGCACGACGTTACCGGTGAAAAACACTTGTTGACCCATTGTTGCAAGTATCTCATCAATTCGAGCAAACGTAATTGATAAGAGAGATGAGAAAATAGAATAGAATAGAATAGAATAGAATAGAAGGGAAGAGAAAAACAACAACAACAAAAAAAGAAGAAGAATTTTCTTTTCTCCTGGTATGACCAAAATAATAATAAGAAGAATAATTTTTATACAAATTTTTTTATTTTTTTTTTTATTTTTTTTAATTATTCGTTTCTTTCTTTCTTTCTCTCTCGCACGGATTATCTTCTTCTTCTTGATCTTTTAGTTTGTTTTTAAAACACAAACAATATTTGAAGTGGGAATAATCCTTTCCCCCTTTCCGTTTTTTTTTTTTGAATAGAAATGAAGAACTCGTCGTTAATTAGTCGTCTACGAGTTCATTAACAATCATCATCCGTCTCTTCTTACCAACGCTTGTTTTCATTTCAAATTCTTACGACAAAAGTGGCAATTAAGTTCTCGAATAAACCGGTCGGGTAATATCCAGGTGACAACGTGCGATTTATTTATCTCTCTCTCTCTCTCTCTCTCTCTCTCTCTTTCTCTATTTTATTTTCTGTTTTTCTTTTTGAAACACGTCTCAAAAATTATACCAACTTAAAAAAAAAAAGATTAAGATAATCAATGTTATTCAAACTTGTCGTTACGTAATGACTTTTACCAACGATTACGAATCCTGTCTCATATTTGTGAATTTAGAAATTTTATTTCCTTTTTTGTTTATTTTTTTTCTTCTTTTTTTTTTTTAGAGAGAAAAAGGATTTTCCTTCGCGTACGTTTTAGAGAAATTATTATTATTATTAATATTGTTATTATTATTATTATTATTAGTAGTAGTAGTATTATTTATTTATTTAGATACACGATGGAAGAAGAAAATTAACGAGCTACCTCCAGAGATTTGTGTACAGTGATTAATAGAAATATTTAAATACTTCATAAATCTAACAACAGAGAGAAAGAGAGAGTGAGAGAGAGAGAGAGAGAGAGAGAGAGAGAGAGAGAGAGAGAGAGAGAGAGAGAGAGAGGGTACTTAATTTTTCAATAGATATGAAGAAATTAGTATGTCATAGTAGAAAGTGCGGCTGGTATGATAAAAAAATGATTTTCCTGTTGGAGTAGCGATGAAAAATACAGCATAAGCTTTTATCAAATATTTTGTCGAGTGGTTTTATAAAAAACGAATACACACAGAGACAGAGACATACATATACAAATCTATAAAATCGTAGTGGTATCGAGTTTCACGTTATAATGACGAATAAAAGCGTTCGGATACAATACATATGTACACATTGTACATATATTTGTGTTTTTTTTCTTCCATTTTCTTTTTTTGTTTTTTTTTTACGAGCTCTCGATAAAAAGAGGCTCACTTTATATTTTTATATTTTGCTCTATCTTCCCCTGCTGTATTTTAATCGTTATTGCAACAATATATTTGAAAATATTTATTCATTTATATATATATATATATATATCTATATATTTTCCTATTCGTTTTTTAAATTTATAATTCTCGTAGCGTTTCCGATTAATCTCTTCATATCTACTCGTAAATTAAAAAAGGAAAAACAAAAGAAAAAAAAAGAAAAATATATTCAGGAAGATAAAAAAAAGAAAGAAACGCACTTTTATTCAATAAGAATAAGAGTTCTCGTAATATTTTTATAATCCTATTACTGTTGGTACCTAAAGAAAAAAAAAAAAGAAGAAGAAAAGAAAAAAAATGCGCAAACGTATATCGGGGATTGTACGGAAAGTAATTTCGTCTTTTTTTTTTTTGTTTATTTGGTCCAGATATTTTCGTTAATCGCGTTTACCGATACCGAAACTTTGCTTTAAATCTTCAAAACATTTGATATTCTGATACGAGACACTTTAAAAAAGTGATTTAGAATCTTTTTGCATTTCGATCCGTTGAATAATTATTTCAAAAAACATTTTTATTATCGCAAGGATCGTTGCATTCAAATGCAACGAGACGATTCATCGAGTAAACCAGTAATAATTTAAGAAACGAACAAAATTTCTCGAATTCGATCATATTCACGTATTTTATTGAAGTATTAACAAATGAAAAAAAAGAACAATTACTTTCCGAAATTTAAAATCAGTATGCGTTTATAATGATCGATCTCGTTCCAACAAATGTGTATCTCGAATTTCGTAGGAACGATTTCAAAGTATTGCGTTAAAAAATTGGATTTAAAAGTCAGAAGAGAGAATTTCAAGTAAACGAGTAGAGAGACTTTAAGTTAACCTAAATATATATAAAAATATAAAAATCGCATATACATATATAAATGTAAGGAAAAAAGTTAAATGCGCTTTCGTAAGAAATATTCGTCGTCCTTCAAAAAAGCGTATTTAAAGCAGCTCAGGCTCGTTTGTTTGTTTTTTCTTTTTTCTTTTTTCTTTCTTTCTTTCTTTCTTTCTTTCTTTTTTCAAGGCTTTTTAGAGGTGGCTGGAAATACGAAAAGGTGCTCGTCTACGACGTTCATGTACATAAGTTTATTTATGCACGTTATATACTTAAGTCACGTGTGTGTTATACCATTCTAAAACGTTTCAAAACGATGCACACATAAGTTGGAAAATGAGAACGCAACGAGGAGTTTCACCGTGGCAATGATTCTTAAGAGAAACCATTCACTAACACGTACGTTTATTTCAACATTCACACACACATATACATATACATACACAACCAAGAAACAGATATAGAGGTGCTATAGTTTATCCTATCTCTCGTTCGTACTTATTCTATTGTTTTTATTTTGTCTTGTTAATTTTATTTTCTATCTTTTTTTGTTATTAATAAAACAAATTCTAACGACGCTTATGGGAGAATAAGAAGAAGAAGTAGAAGAAGAAGAAGAAGAGGAAGAAGAAGAATTAGATGAGGTGGGTGTGTGACCGTTTTTGTTCACCGTTTGTTTAACCCGAGCTTATGAATTATTGTCTCACCTTGTTTATTATTTTAATTCATTTCGATATAGTCCGATATGTAAAATAATTTCTTTTTTTTTTATAAATATTAGTATTATAAGGATATATTTAAAAAAAAATATAAATATAATTATATTAGATATTTGATTAAATAGAAAAGAGAGTGAAAGAGAGAGAGAGAGAGAGATTCTTGTATAAAGATTAAATAAAAATAAAAACTAAATTGAATGACAAGGAGTTTGATAATAGAAATTAGGATGATAATACAACAGAAATCTTTTCTATCGTCCTAACAACGAGCTACAAACGTTGCAGAGTTTTGTAGTACCTAACAGTAGGTAAGGAGGATATCAATTTCATGGGGGAAGAATATTATATAAAATCTCCATAAAAATCGCCGAAGAAATCGCATTTAAAAGAAGATAAACGATTAAATTTCATTTTGTGGATTTTTATTGACCAACGTTTGCCAACCAAAGCATTCAATTCATTTCTACATTGTAATAATTAATTCATATTTTTATTCATTAAGATTATGATGATATTAAAGAACAATGTAAAAAATAATATTATTCAACTTGCCGTTTTTTTGTTTTTTTTTCTTCTTCTTCTTCGTACGAGTTAATAAATGTTTTGCGAATAAACGAAATGCCGAAGAATTTTCTTTGAATTGAAACGAAACGGAGGGGAGAACGATAACAAAAAAAAAAAGAATGCAATTATTATATTATAATAAATAAATTAATATGTCAAAAAGACAAAAAGGTAAGAACGAGAAAGAGAGAAAGAGATATATTCATCTTTTTCTGATTAAAAACTCTCGTAGAAACGAATTCGTTGGTGGAAAATATAACCCGGGGAAAGCTTTGGGGGAAAAGTTTAGCAAAGAGAACGCGTAAAGAAGAAGAAAAAGGAAATAAATAAAGAAAAAGGGTTTTCTCAAACGCGTTATTCTCTAATTTTTTGTTTATCTACTTTTTACCTCTTCCACGTTAAAATGTTGGGGTAGAAGAGAAGGAGAGAGAGAAAGAGAGAGAGAGAGAGAGAGAGAACGTTGTTATTATGAAAACTAGGTAATTATTGGATTCGCTTCGTGCATTAGTTCAACGAACGAATCGTTATTTGCGGTATGGATCTTGTTTTTTCTTTTCTTCTCCCCTTCTTTACTTTCCTTTCGTTTCTTTTTTTTTTTTTTTTTTTTTTTTTTTTTTTTTTTTTTTTTATTTCCCTCATTCCTTTCGACGAGCTAATTGCTACGAAAAGAAGTAAGAAAGAAAGAAAGAGAGAGAGAGAGAGAGAGAGAGTGCTATTTGCGCATTAATTAAATGGCCTGCCCTCCTTTTCATCAATCTCCCCCCCCCTCCCCTCCCCCTTCTTCCTCCTACTCTTTACTAACTTCCGGAATACGACTGACTTGGAATCGGAGAGAGAGAGAGAGAGAGAGAGAGAGAGAGGACGAGTTAAAGAAGTTTTTCTTAACTTCCATCTTCTTGTTCGTTAGTTTCGCAAATTTTTATCATGAAACGGTGGGACAATTTAACAATTCAATCTAGGAATTCCTATGAGATTTATCGTATATCGCATCGAGAGGAATTGCAATTTCAAATTAGCCAGTTTTCCCTCGCGTTTCTCCCATTAATTTCTTACGATCGTATACATTAGAATATATTATATGTGTGTATTTATACTTATTACTTAAGTTATTGGTGTTTACGGGATACGCGGGGTAGGTGAGAAACGTTTTTTTTTTTTTTAATATTAGAGAATGGACATCAGAATTTATGACGTTGAATAAATTCTTATTGTTTATGTAATATACAGGGTTAACGAAATATCTTTTTTTTTTGGGGGGTGGTGGGAGGGTGTGGGGGAATTTTATTTCATTTTATCACACAGTTCGCATATACGCGCGCGGGGTTAGTGTACACATTTCTATTTTATGCAATATAATAATTTGTTTTTGTTTTTTTTCTTTTTCTCAACGCAAATTTTTATCTCGAGAGCAGGGCATTTGTGAAAACAAAACAAAAAGAAAAGAAGAAAAAAGCAGCAAAGAATTATTCGGAAAAAAAGTTATTTGCTTTTCCAAGAGAGGAGGAGCGCGAGGGCATTATTTTTTTGTTTATATTCAATGAAAGTTAGTATCA